TTGTGCGTTTAGGCCAGGGTTTGACTTCGTGTGGACGGGGCCTCAGCCTTGAAATGGTCGGTGACCCCTGACCTAGCCTAATTAATACAAAGGGCGCTGGATAGTGGTTCTGCCATTTTAATGAGTCCAACTGTCTAGTGGATGCAAAGTTTCCTACAATGCACCTTTGGAAGTAGGAATAATCCATGCATGGACGTAGGTTTGCATAGGGACCATTTTGGTAGGGAAATGTCCCCACCAAAATTTTGGACCGACCCATTTGTCCCTACCAATAATTCGGTTTGAATAATGTTTATATAACATGTTTATAATTTGCGATTCAGCGTGGTGGATCACTGTGTGAGATCACAGCCAATTCTTTTTCTCTCGCAGCTGCTGGGCTCCGTCTTGCTGCCCGGTCTTTCCCGTCCCTTAAAGTCAGTAACTGTGCTGTTTAGCTCCACTCTCATTGGTTGTCCTGCCTCAAGTTCCGCCTTCTCTCTTCCTGATTGGCTGTTTTCTAGTCTGTATGCGTGTGTGTGTGTGCTTGGAGCGCAAAATAAGACTTTTATTCACGCCAGTTACTTCAAATAACATTAGTCTATGAAACTAATCCTAAAGAAAACAAATTTAATTCTATCTAGACTAAAACAGGTGAAAGCTGCTGATTGCTGATTCTTAGCCACAGTAAACTGAAAAAGAAAATGTGAGAGTTTCCCTTTTAACAATACTTCATTTCAGTTACTGTTTTCATTTTATGACGACACTTTGAGGCAGTTCAGCTATAAATAGAAGGTGTTATTTCTTTTATAGAGTATAACAACACAAGATGGCGCCTAAACGTCTGCTATTTTTTGTTTAGAAAGCATAATTACAGTTCCACATAATATTGATATTTCTTTGACTATTTCTACTTTTAAAAATGGGATAAAGCCAATAACGAACAGAGGAAAACTATTTACATTGATTTCATTTTACATAGATTTCCACACATCCATAAGTTAATTAGTACAAACATTGGTCAAATGTTTATTTTGAATATTATTACATTACAGACAAGATGGAGTTATATTTTCTTTTAATAATTGATAAAAGTGATTTTATATTGGAATAAATTTAGTCCCATTCTTAGTGTTGTGTTTTGTAGATGATGCCAATAAATGTAAATAGAATAAATGTATTTGCGTCCCTTGAATGTGTTATTTTGCGCTGTTTCATGATACATAGAGAGCATTTAAAAAAAAAAATAAGAGTGTTTCACCTGTTTACCTTTGCACAATTCCATATCTTCAAAAGAAAATACAGGATAAATCCACATATAACGGGCATATTTACTATATTTGGTTAAATTGGCACATTTACCTACTGTCTTAGTCGCTGGTAAGTTTAAATGCAAACCTTTTCAAAGTGGAAAAAAGTCCTAATTCCACATTAATCAGAGCTGATGATGCTTCAAACATTGATAAACAGCATCTAGTGTGTGTAGTGCTAATAAAATTAGTATAAATGTAGGAAGAAATGCTGCCGTTCTCTTTAAACGAAATGCACCCTGATGCTCATGTCAAGCATAAAAAAGCATGCATATTTTTGCATGGGTAAAATTACATTAATGAAACTTGGGACCAATAGTGTCCCTACCAAAGTGGAAATCAAACCTACAACCTTGAATCCATGGTCACTAGAAGAGCATAAATATGCCAGGATGGACTTCAAATCATGGGATTTGTTGTGACAGTGGCGACTGATAAAGATGGCACTGGAACCGTGCGGGGAGGCGGAGTTACGTGACCAGCAGGTAGCAGAAAGTAGCGATCATCTGTCCTAATGGTCAGTTCACTATAAAGTGCACTATATAGTCCCTGCTCTATACAGTGATTTAGGCATTTAGGGGTTAGGGTGGGCGTCCGGACACAGCCTCAGTCTAATACCTCTTTCCCGCTGGCCGAAAAACCCGTTTAAACCTGCGAACAATCGGCTTTTAGTGGCAGTGGGAACAGCTTACTGTGGCGTCTCTACCCGGGTCAAACAACTCACCCGGGTTAAAGGCATACTATGCAACATTTTTCAGTTAATTAATGTGTTCCATAACGTTTTGGATGATTAAATGAGTCATTTCAGGTTGAACAAAGGTATTCTCGGCCGCCCTGGTGGTCTGTAGGGGAAATATCGTACTTGCAATTGCAGGAGCCCTCGGCCCGCACCCACAGG